CGATGTTGTGATGCATTAACGAGACAAACACATGGCGAACTAGCCCCTCATACTGTTTTTTTATACATTCATATGCTTGACTTATAATTTTTGTCCGACAACTCATTGATCACGATATATTTCAGGTAAATCACGTTAATATTCATTGATAGTAACTTTCCCTGCGTTTTGAAAGACAGTGTGGTTATGGCTTTGTGAATCCGTTCGCGATGTTCTTTTGCTAACAGGAGTTTGTTAGTGTGAGAGTCAATTTGAGTCGGAGGTATGGTCTGTGGCAATTGTCTACGGTGGAGTTTGTTGTGAGTAGGCTACGGAGACACTCGCCAACACGGTAGCGCCAATGATAGTTCAGTTTTGTCACGGAGGCTCGTCCACTCCGGTAACCATCTCCGGCAATCTGCGAGAGGGCTGCCTCGCTGACGGCAAGCAGTAAATCCTTACAGCATTCGTCACTAAAAGATAGTTACATCATGGGATTTCTGTGCCTCCGCTGGAGATATTTTTTAGGGTTACCAGGGCTTACTGGTTTGTTGTCAGCCAGTTTCTGTCCATGAATTCGATCCATGCGCTTGGATCTCTAGGAGTGATGTGTCCGGAAGTTTCGTTCAGCGAAACGAAGGTTTCTGTTTCGTCTACTGGGCCCAGTGTTATGTTCCACTCGTCTTTGCCTTCTAGACGCGTTTCGTCAACTTGAATTGCTCCCTTCTGAGGACACAGAGATTTTACTGTTTCAACATGTGTAGAGAGCTCAAAGCATTGGTTGTGCTCATCCGTTGTCGGCTGTAATTATGAACGACAGCTTTGGTACTTAAACAAGTGCATAGAAGGGCAGAGGAAATGAAAGGAAACGAACCTGGGAAATACTGTCCAAGTATCGAAGGCTTTGCGACAATATTTCTGTGGGGGAAGAGACATTTAACCATAGTGATCACGTGAGGGATGAGTGAATAACCCGTCGAAGGTTTATAGTGTGACATGATTTATTCCAATAGCATTCATCTATGGTGTTTTGGTAACATCAAAGCTTAAGAGTCCTAAAAACTCAAATCTAACATTAAACACTTATTAAGAACAAAATAAAGACAAAAGTGGACCAAAAATGGCTGCAGTATTGCACGACCGCATACTTGGGGCGTCGTTCTGCTTAGCTATCATCACAAGGACTGGTTTCCGACTCGACGTCCACCGACGCCTCATGGCGGATACGAGGGCTCTGCCCTCTTCATGAAAGACAAAGACAAAAGGGAGCTGAAGCATTTCCTTTGGTGGAGTGCCGTCCGGTGCGTCGCCCGACATGTAAAAGAGCTTATCCCTCGCTGATGATGTTCCTGGAGTACTGTCCACCACAATCACCCCAAGTGCGCCCATCTATGCAGGTATTTTAGTAGAAAAAATTGTCAGCCTAACCGAACGGGATCCATATTGGTATCCGACAAGCAGAAAATGATGATATCATTAATCTTTTATGGATGTATCACGATGAGGGGAATCATGAATTAGGAAACTCTTGAATGCAGGGAATGGTAGTCTAGCAATGATTCAATCTATCGAGGCCAATCCATAGTCCATCCTCAGGCGGTTAATGTTAGGTGTCATTGAATGAAAAGCAGGCGGTCTCACCTGTTTTACATTTATTGCCTTTTCCAGGAACATGCAGCCACCACGCTTGACAAGCACGATGGCACCCTTGAGCAGGCATCTTGGTTTGTTGTCTACATCTAACTCGGAATCTCCGTAAAATGAAGGTTCAACGAGATCGGCGTGGAGTTGTTCGTTAGCAATGAGGAAACCATCCGAGTAGACTGGCGTGCAGGCATCGAAGGGTTCCGCTATGACAAGGGGACCCATGACGGGTTGCCAATCAATTTCTGAATTTATGAGGGGAGCGGCGGCATCGGTAATGTTTGGGGACTCGCCAGGGTAGAAGGTAAACATTGATGGACCCGCCTCAAAACGTGTTCGACCAAAGTGTGGTGGGTGGATAAGGGCGATTGTCTGCGATGTTACTGCCTCCCCTTTGGCATTCAACAACAAGGGAAAAATGGAGAAAATGAATTAGATGGATAAACACTAAGTTGTTGAAATGGTCCAAACTCCACAAGGAAAGGAGTCAGACATATTATGCTGTGTCAGGATTCATAAGCGTCCACTCCATTGCAAGCTACACAGTATAAAGAACCCCTGTACTTTCGCAAAATCGTTCTATTTGAGAATAAAAAACTGCATAACTGAGCTCGCTCCTTTTACCCTTTAAGCAAAACATCACATAACAATTGAATAAGTTAAATGGCTCCTGAAATTGAAGCATTACCAAGTGATCTTCCTTGTGATCTGGCGTTATTTAAGTCGATGATCTCCTCGATGAATTTTAAACCCGAGAGTCCAAGGAGCGGTGAATCCGCCTAAACATAAGTAATGGAACTATCGGTTTAGGAAAAATAACTTGCAACTAAATAAGGATACATTTTGTGAGTTAAGACAGTATTTTTCAAAAAAACATTACATTCCCAATTCACGTACTGATCAATAAATAATGAACGATACTTTAGCTTCAAATAAATAGAATCATAGGTCCTCCTTTCCACGTGATGGGCCAACTTCTTCCTTCTCACAGCTACTTTAAGATTTCCACCTTGACCCCCATAGTTGGTCTGACTGAAACCGCCTGAGGCAACACGACTTCTGCGCCCCCAATAATGAGTGCAGAAAGAAAGTGCAGCACATCGGAATAAATTTGATAAGTACGTACCTGATTACGATTGAGTTTAAGTTGAATTTCGCCACTTTTTCCTACTAATACCATAATACCCATTTGACGAAGCAGTTGTAGGTGAGTGATGTTATTAGCATTGAAGGAGGCAGGAGTGAGGACGCCTGAAGGAAGAGAAGAGGAATCGTGAGCACCAATCGAATGCCCGGACCGCAAGCTTTTTGCTATAGAACGTAGGGGCTGGCGGATAGCCTCAAGGTAGTGATGACGCCACGATTCCGCACGGCACGTAGTCTGACGAGTTTGCAACAGACGCCATAGAGTGCTGGGTCTACTAGGTGCCAAACAAGTGCCGCCCCAGGCACGACCGAGAGAACCCGGCGGCAAAACAGCCGCCTCCTCCACTAACCCCACTCGCGCAGCTACAGGCGGATGCTGCTTCGGTAGGCCGATAGGGAGAATATGCGCCTCGGTGGTTAACACGTACTGTTCCAAATCAATCGGCAACTCTGAGGGCTCCGAGAACAGGAGGTAGAAGTACTTGAATGTCTCAGCCAATACAAAGGAGTCCATCCTATCCGAATGCTTCATTGTTCGGATATCCTGAGTCATAAAATTAATTAAATAATGGTGAAAAGTCGTAGGAAAAACTAAACTAGCAAGAGGTCGATTTATCAAATTCGGAGAAGCGAGTAAATGCCAAAAATGCATTTGTGATTCTTCAAGCATAACACGTAAACCATTTAGGCAAAATCTCTGTAAGGAAAATACTAACCCCATTCACAGTCAACTAAAATGAATAACCTATGACGAGTTCATTGATATAAGAGCCTATTCATCCAAAATACTTAATTTTGAACCTTTAAAATAAGGCGTTCTACCAACCATGTGTTGATGAGGGACCTAGTTTGGCTTGAGCTGCCTATCAAGCATTCTAGCATTCAAAATTACACTGAGCCGACATGGATTTACTTCCCAAAACTGCCGAAACATGGGTCACTGAAATAAGTTGTATTATAAGCATTTGGCTAGAAAGCATCGCCCTCCTTTCGAAGGCGGATCATACGAGCTAACCTCGATAGCCGCAAACCCACAGGGCACCCTGGCATGTCGCTCGATGCTCTCCAACAGTTCGGCCCCAACATATAAGTAGTACGGGTCGCTGGTGCCTTTGTAAAGAAGATATGTGGACTCTACGAGTTCAGGTCGAATCAGATGGTGAGGCCAGTAAATGTCCATGTCAGTAGTGAAAGCCTCTGGTAAAAGGCCGTGTTCCTTATGCACCATGAAGAGCATCTCGTGGTGCGCAACCGCAGCGCTCACGTCGCCGTTGATTGCCTGCAAAAAATGGGTGTACAACAAGTTACATTGCTGAATAAAACTCTTCTTAATTTTATATAGGTACAAAGGAACGGCACAATTTAATTCTGTGAGTTAAAAAGTTTCCCATACTAATTTGATGACGAAATCAAGTGAATCAAGGGAGGCACAAACAAAGAAGTTAATGAGCTGTTTCGCCTCAAGAAAATAACCACTGCATGAGTCGTTTACCTGAAGTCCGGGCCAGAACGCCTGAAGAGCGTCCATGTAAAATCGAGAGCGTTCTGAAGGCTTGTGCATGAAGACGCTGAGGAAGGAGAAGGGGAACGCTTTGGTACCGGGGGCGCCCATGTAACGCTCAACAGCAGAATAGTGCGCTTGGAAGCGGTGAAGATAGACGGGATCGCCAAGGAGGCCGTAGGCTTTGAGCAGACTTTCATAGTATGAATCAATGCCCGCACCAACACCCGACTCTACATTGAATAAATGAGCAGTCTTCTTTGAAAAACTAGCTAAGAGAGCGATCAAAACCTGTGATTGACTAAAATAAAAAGTCGATTTAAAAGTCGAAACAACAGTCCGCAATTTCAAGAGAAGGTCAGATCGCTGCGACCTAGCGCAAAGCCTCTTAATGTTTATGAGGACCTCTTCTGATAAGTTCACCAGAAATAAACAGTGCCTCAATAATACAATCTTTCGTCCCAAGCAAACATTGAGTGCAGTCGAAGGACTTCTAGTTAGCAACTTTAAAATCAAAGTCATAAAATAGGTCTGTGACACAAAGTAGCAGAGATACAACCCCATGGTTGACACACATTGGGCATTTGTGGACCGCCACAATAACATTTCCGCTTGAAAGCAACAATACGGCTTAGCAGTTCCTAATTTATCCATTCAAAAAGGTAAAATTGTTTGATTGAGGGCGAATAATGTAGAATAAAATAACTAAACTCATCTACACAACAAGTCAGAGAAAAAAGTTACGGGCTGTCAAAGCAGAGATAAAGCTTTGATAAAATAGCAACCTTGATTCGTACAGCATGGAAGGGGTAGATATGATGTCGAAATAAATTAATCAAACTCAAGCAACAGGCAAGAAGTCAAAAACAGCAAGTGCGCAGCAATAAATGAAACCTTAGGTTAAAAGGAAGTACTTTTGTAAGCTTACCTCTACGAACCCATTCACCGCTGCTTACGTTGATCTCAGTTCCAACGAGGTCTGAGTAGCGATTGCGTTGTTGCCACAAGTACGAGAGCGCGTTGGCAGCCATCGTCTCGTAGATGGGATTGTCAGAAAAGCGACTCAGGGCAGCGAATTCTAGTATAAGCGTTCCTGCGCAGGCCGTGCAGGTGTGCAGCTAAAATATGGCCACGAACTGGTGAATTCCAAAGCATCTTAATCGTTACCTGTTATACAAATAATGAGAAAAATTTGGTTTGTGCTCAATCTTTGTGGTTGCGAAAAAGTGAAGGATAACTGAAAGGTATGCTTGCTAAAATAATGCAGCCAATATGAGGGTAAAAGACTAGGAGTGATGTAGTCACACTATAAGATACCAATAAAGTGGTGTTCGGGGAATTAATCCCATGTGTCACTTCAGAAATTCACAGTTTGAGAGGGATTGTAAACGAGAGGAGCAGCAGAACTCACGAGAAGTAGCATGAATAAGACGGCAGCCAATAAAAAACATACTAAGACTTTGTCAGGAAGAATTCAACTCTAGTCGCAGAGAACAAGGTGAAGATGGAACGACTTTTCACTCGAGATGGATAATGCATAAAAAGAAGTCAATAGATAAATTGAAACAAATAAGACCCAATGTAGTCCTTCTGTAGAAGTCTCAATTCATTCAAGTTACTCTCAACTACCACCTCTCAGAAACAAGGACGTCTCCAAGCTCAATTAAATTTTAGACAGGATTAGTTTATAACAAAAAAGCTTACAAGCGGAGGTGGTTTGCCTGTGTGCAAATTTATGCGCGGGTAAGGCAAACCCGTTGTTGTATTGAACGCAGGTAGGAGACGGTTTCCTAGATCAATGGCCATGTCCAAAAGCTGGTCCTTATACCAAGATGCGCGGCTGGGATCGTTCTCTCTCAAGACTAGAACCGAAACATGGCCACCGAGCAAGCCACTGTAACCAACAAGTTTGTATGAGTTATCCACATACCCAACAGCTAATCTGCAGTTCAGCGACACCCACTCACCCCAAAACACGAATATTAGTTTCAAAAACAGACACGTCGACGTTCTGATCAAAGGAAACATCATGAATCACTCGGAGTACAGCTCGCTCAAATTCGTCGAATTCACCAAGCAACTAAAGAACATAAGCAAATAACCATAAACCAACAAATAGTGTGTCCAAACTGTCGATGAGCGAAAGAGAGAAATTTCCGAGGGCTTCGTCGACTGTTCCACGAAGTAATTCCCTATCTCGGTATCGACCTTTGCAAGACAGGGGCATCAACTCATCAGCAGGATAAGCAAAATTCTATGGAGAACTAAGCAAATTTGTCCATACCATATAGTTTTTGTAGGCATGGAAAAACATCTCCTTCGACTTATTTCTGCAGAAATATTAGACGTTAACTGGTTTACCTAAGGTTTTCACGTTCGATATCATTCATGAATGAAGCTTTGGTGCCAAATGCTGTGGGATCAACCACTAAAAGAACGCAAATTAAATCCAGCAAAACATCCATCAATACGACCGCGACGACACTAGCGAGCTGATTGGTTCATATATGTAAGATAATTGACGCAAATTCTGGTCCGCGTGTTCAAACAACAGAAAGAGTTGTAAATTGGCGAATGAATTGCTTGCTAAATATGATAATTTAGCTGTTGTTTTAAATATTAAAGAATTAATTACTGCACCCCTACTATAGAAGCAGAGCAAAAACATGCTTAATGTTATCATTTGTATGGCATTAGTGCCTGGTAATGCGAAATCCCTAAAGCATGCCCACCATTGCTTTTTTAATGCGACCTCATGATTTCCACATAAATATTCTTTTTGGTTTTCTTGTTTGCGATTGTAGTGTCTCGGGATTCTCACGGGGTAGAATAAGGCAGTAAGTGGAGCTGAATATATATATTCCCGCCAGAATAAAGGGATTAGACCTGAGCTTAGCTCGGAGGCTAGTCCACATGTACAAGAACCATACGAACCTTGGTAGTAACCGCTTGACATCAGGCGATCACAACCAAACCATTACAGCGGATCCCATTTCTACGATTTAGAGTTTAGCGATTACTTCGCCTGCAACTAAAACTCCTAGAAATAGTCAATGTAACTTGGGTCATGATTGCCGCTTTACTGTTTCGTAACGATGATATCTGTGCAATTATCTTCATTATTACCGCATCCAGAGACTTCCCACTGGACATAGGTCATTAAATTGAGCAAACGCGGGCATTTTTAGAACAAGAACGAAAGCGGATATCAAAGTAATACCTAGACGCAAGGCGGTCACACAAACGAAGTTTTGCAAATACAGTGTGCCCGTATCTTCACAGCGTGGGTCGCTCGAATATGAATGAATGAATCTCTATAGCCATCGTACATAGATGTCTTGTATTCTCACCTCTTATTTTATTCACGAGCTGAATGGGTATCGTTCCGAGGCTTCCTACCAAGTAGAAGAAGCAGTGAATGGAGCTATATACATACATCCCAAGGGGAAAAAAGTTACCAGGCCTAAGCATGGCTCAAAGACCAACCCAGTTACACAAGGATCAAAAAATTCTTTAAAAACTACCAAACATCGAGTGACCACTCAAAAAAATATAGAATCCCGCA